TAGTTTTAGACACTAAATCATTTTTGTTGCTTCTGATAATTCTTGTAGGGACTAGTTGGATTATTCCAAAGCCCTTCACCAACGATCAGAATTATTGGACATATATTAATTAATTAACAAATATATATCCAATGCAAATAGTTATTGATTTAATTCAAAGGCCCAAAATAAATATCTCTAAGATTCCAAAAATATTGTCTTGAGTTTTACCTCTTGCCAATATTTTCAGAGACTAAGAGGAACATTTTCTTGGACTTCTTTGAAAAGATTTTAATGTTGATTATTTCTGAAGTGATTTCTGAGGGTTTCAACTAACCTCAATTCCACTTTCAGAATTTAGACATGATGCATGATGCTCACTCATGTAATTAGCTACAAGCAAATTCTAGGGTTGTGACATTTTACGTGTTCAGTATGCATTCTACTAAAAAAACTTTTTAATATACATGACAGAAAATTATTACAAAATTTATAATAAAAGCTCGTTTTAAAATGAAGGTCTAGAATAATTATCGATTAAACAAATAGTTCAGTACAAATATTAGCTCGAACGCCTCTGGGGTTTCCTAAACGGCACTTGTTACTATTGTTTCTGCAATCGGGCGCACATCCCCTCCTTCGTGCTGGGCCGGCCGATCTTCGTTTTTTTTCTATTTAACCGTGCGAAAATGTGTGATTCGAACTGGCAACATGCTGGTTCAATGGTCACTGCACTAACGACCCAACCAAACTCATGTACTGCGATTAGTTATTTCTTTTTCCACCTTTTCTTCTTTAATTTTTTCATTTTTTTGGAACTGTTTTGGTCAGTTTTTCTTTTCTTTTTTTCCATTTCGTTTCCTTTTTCGCTAAATGCGCAAAGTTTTTTCGAATAGTATAACTCGTTTTTCAAAATCTATGAACTTTTTACAAAACCGATGCACTTTATTTCAAAATATATTCAAAATTGCAAAAACTAGAGGCCGGTTTTTTTCCTGAACGAGCAGTACAACACAGCTGAAAAAAAGGCAAAATGCGGTCAAGGCAAGTTGATCGAGCGATCAAATTTATTTTTTTAGCGAGTGAGGGAACGAAGTGAAATGGGAGCGATGATTTAATGGGCCCAATCTTCGTTTGTTTGTGTACACATTTGATCCTTTCGATCTATACTTCGTTTCATCGGCGGCTTTGTTGTTCTGGTGTGCTGGTCCTCGGAGGCCTTAGCACAATGATTTTTTGACTGTCTACTACAACAAGTTCGGCCTCGCTCCAGTGAGGGAGCAGAAATGATGTAGGCGCGCCTTTGGCTCGCTCTAGTGTTTGTAATCGTCACTAGGTGGTCTACGGGCATGGGTGTAATTTTTGTTATTTTTGTATTATTTGTACTAGTAAATGAGCCCGTGCATTACTATGAAAAAAAAAAATACCGCACTCCACTAACTCAATAATCATGAGTAAAGACCCAAATAAGTCAATGTCCTTTCTTTTAATACATGGCATGACATCTGTGTTGCCGCTTATCCTCCTTTCCACCCTCGTTGACAATGGCCTCAGTGCTCACACTATCATAACGTGTTTGAATGTTGTCAATCCTATTGCGTCTCTCTCGGTATAAGATATGAAATCTGCTTTTTTCCTATGAGGTTTGGGTGAGACGTGCATGTGTGGTTACAGATGGTATCTTTCCTCTCCAATTCTGATTTTGCTAAGGTGCTTGCTTCCAATCCGGATCGGCATCAGTATGAAAGAAAAAGGATCATACGCTATAGATTAAGATTGCGCCCTAAATAGCATTTTAAAAATCGTTAACAGATAAAATAGCATCATATTCGAAGGAACAAGCTCGCACACAACCTGGCGATGGAAGCAAAAGATCTTGGGGACTTCAAGATGATTGGAGCTGTACCAAGTAGGGTACAGGAGGTTTGGTTGTATGACCGTAATCATTCTCCTGTATAATTTGGGGGCTCGTCATTCTCAAAAAAAAAATAGCATCATATTCAGATTTTACATATTTTTCTAATCAAATTCCATATATAACATGTTAAATTTGTTGTTAGGGTTTAAAAGATATGGATATATTGACAAAAAGCATTTGAAAATGTACTACGTGTAGCCCAATTATCACGGGGTTTCCTGTAAACCGAAATCTGACTTAAAACTGCCTGCATGTTGATTACCAGAAAGGCAGAAACAGCAGGATGTTTTCTGGGAAAATAAAAATCTGACTTAAAATTGGACTGCAGGTTGATTATTAGAAACATCAAGGGGTTTTATGCAAAATATCATGACAAAAGAATACTTATTTCCTTTATTAGTAGATATAGACTACCATGACATGATGAATAGATCTAAAGTTTCGTCTAAAAAACAAAAGGCATCCATATCAGAACTCTCTTCACAGACCAATGAACTATAATTGAAAAAAATGAGCTTGCTGCAAAGCAAAGGGGGATAATTTCTACTCATTAATGGTATGAGTAAATATTAGGAAAACGTTGGCAGCCGGTGGGCCGGTCGAACGAAGCGCCGGTCGCGTCCACGCACGAAGCGTTATCCTCTCGTTTAGGCAGCCACGTGGCATGGTGGCCCACGAAGCTAGTTTTCCTTCCCCTCCCTTTCTTTTTTCTCTCTGACCCTGTGCCTTATCCCCTGCCCCAGCCTCCTTTTCCTCCGGCGAGGCAGTACGCCGGCGTAATTAGTGGAGCTAGTGCATCGCGTACCACTCGATTCCGGCGAGCGCATCCGCCATGCCCCCTCCTTTAACTGCCTACCTTCTCTCCTCCCCCGCCCCCACCCCACCCCACCCCCCAAATCCTCCTCCATGCATGGCCGTGCACCACATCCGCGTAGTCCTCCTCTCGCCGTGGTCATGGCGCCCGCCTAGATCCTTCCCGCCAGGCTGTGCTACAACCGCCGACCAGTCATGCTACAACTGGCCATCGGATATGCTGCATCCGGCGACGGGGAGGTCGTGGCTGCCGCCGCCGACGATGCAATTTTTTTGGTACAACCAGCAATGGAAAAAGCTACCAGCAACCGACGGATTTGTTGCAACCGGTGTTGCGATTTGCCAGAACCGGAGACCACGTTTGCTGGAACCATTGTCATGGTTTGCTGGAACCGGCTTTTTCTCCCTCAATGGTGACCATGGTGACCGCGGCGCATGCAATGCGTTTTCCCCTCTCTATTTTTTTGGCTGGAACAAGTGTCTTTTTTTGCTGGAACCAGACACATTTTTTGCTACCATCACTTTTTGATTTGCTGGACCAGTCCAAATTTTGCTACAACCGTATTTTAATTTTGCTAGAAGCAGCCTATTTTTTGCTACAACCGTCTCCTGGTTTTGCAACGGCGGTCATGTCGGAAACATTTGGTAGCGGGAGGGCTTCCACTGTTGGCGACCGGAGTTGCAACAGAGGGGGCTGCAAACCATCGACGTTTTTTTGCTACAACGGGGCATTTTCTGTTTGCTGGAACTAGTCAATTGTCAGCGAGGCGGAGCTGCATCCATGGCGTGCATAGGTGGCTGGCGAGCGTGGATCTCCGGCGAGCGCCGGCGGCTGACAGGCGCGGTTCTGCGGGCGGCCAGAGTGGCGAGCACGGGCGGCCAGATCGGTGAGCGGGGTTCTCCGGCGAGTGTGGGTGGCCAGAGCGAGCGGCCGGCGAGCGCGGTTCTCCGGCGAGTGCGGGCAAAGAGTGGCGAGGGCGGTTCTCCGGTGAGTGGCGGTGGCCTGAGCGGGGAAACATGCGCGACGGGGGAGGGAGAAGACTGGCACGAGGTAGAAGACTGCAGCGACTTAATCGTGCGGTTGGGACACCTGCATCGTACGGCTGCTAGGCGACCGGCCCAAACTTTGGGCCGGCGCACCGGCGCCCAGTACTGCCCTAAATATTAACCCTTACACTAGCACAAATAAGGTAGAACTTAAAGATAAGAATTGACCCGAGGCAATGTATGAGGAAAATCTCACAAAATAAAAAATGGGAGATCAATCCTTTTGTCAGTCAAGAAGCTACACCGTCTCAGCCTAAGTCTTTAGCCAACACTTCTGCTGACATTATATCTCCTGATTTGGAGAGGTGAATGTAAAAGCAATACATTTTTTAGTGTACATTTGATATGGCATGATTCAAATAACCTAAGAAACAAGGATGCATTGGAAATGGTACGGGCGTGTAGGAAAGAGGAGAAGGTGCGGATGAACCATCACGGGCACCAATTCCCATTTGACAAGTCTTACATGCTTACATGTTGCCATGGACAGTCTATTGTGCTTAAAACTTCTATTTGGAAATATGATCATTAGGATCGCTAGGAAAAACTATGATTTTTTAGGGTGAATATTTCAAGAGATATTGAGCCAGTCTCATCTAAAAATCACAACAACCAAAAAAAAATCCTAAGATTCCAGCTTTGACTCTGGAAATAGGGCCCACTAAAAGCGGGAAACATTTGTAAAGAGACGGTTGATAACTCGATGCACGTCGGCCTTCTCTGCGGTCGCTGGAGCTGAGTTTGACCAAATGGCCCACAACTCAATTGCCTCCGAGACGCAATAGGTAAATGTTTCTCCAACCGCAACATGGATCGTGTTTCAACCAGCGAGCTTAACATGACTTATATTGCAAACCGGGGTTGGAAGATGGATTTCCCGAGCACAACATGGATCATAGTGCAACATGACTCATGTTGTAAACGGGTCCGGTCAATGCACTGCCACAAGCCAGCAAATGCAACATGGCTCATTTTGCAAGCTGGCGGGTCACACTACCAACTGTCACGCGTGGGATCCAACGGCTCTGGATGCGATGAATCCGGTCACCGGCGGACATGCAACTCGCCCCTTAAAAAACAGGACCGAATTTGTTTTTCCACAACAAGAGTACATCCTTGCCTCACAAAAGAAAGTGAAAAAAAAGAACACCTGGTCGAATGCTAGTGATTTTTTCACAACGAAAATGATGGTATTTCACAAGTGATTTACAAACGAAATTGCGGCGATTGATCGGTTCCAATGCTAGTGATGCATCTGGTCAAGAATCACGGTGAGCGCGAGGATGAACGCCTGGTCGACGCCGGGGTTGATCCTCGCGGTATACGTGTGCCTCCCGAGGAACGCGCCGCCGGCCGTGTTCTGGCGGCTGATCCGCGCGACGATGGTGCCATCGGAGTCGTCGCCGCCGCCGCCACCTCCAGCAGAGACCGTGCACGCGCCGGCGTAGTAGCTGCCGCCGATGACGAAGTCCGGGACCCGCTCGCCGGAGCCGTTGCCGGCGAGGAACACGCGCACCTTGGTCCTGGCGAGCTGCACGGGCGCGGTCTTCACCGCGACGAAGAGCAGGTTCCTCCGGCTGGTGCTGTCCCCCCTGTACGCCTCCCACCTCGTGCTCGCTAGGTAGGTGGAGTCCTGCAGGGTGAGCGCGGGGCGGCGCGACGCCGCGTCGAGGAGGAGGGAGCGGTGCTGGAGGAAGCTGAACACGGCCGCCTCCACCTGCATCACGGCCGCGCCGTGGGCGTCCGTGACGGTGAAGTCGCGCCCCGTCACGCTGATCGTCTTGGTGACCGCGAACGCCGTGGCGGCCGGCGCACAGAACCGTGAACCCACCACCACCACTGCCGGAGTCGCCTCTGCCGGCTCGCCGCTCATGACCGCGCGCGTGGAGGATGATTGCTTGGGCTATGGACGAGTGGTCGAGGCTTAAACGGTAAGGATGGCGAATGGTTGAGACGGGCAAATATAACGGAGTACTATGGTCTCGGGCCGGTTTGACCAGCGCGACGCTGAAAGCCACGGCTGCACCCGCCAACTTTGAACGTACAAGTTGATTTCGGTTGCTGTCAATATCATTTGGCCCTATGGGCGAACAGTTCTAGCCTGTACAATGATTTTGAACCTACCTAGCGAAAACAGCTCAACATTTTCTTAGAGAAAAGACGCAGCCGAGCCTGAGAAGGCCGCTAGCCTAGTCCAACTTTAAATTAACAAAGCCATCGACCGGCCAGGATACAATTGCAGAGTACAACAAAGAGTAAGAACTACAGAAAGCAGCAAGAGCAGCAAGATACAGAGGCGCTGGAAAACAGCTTACTGAGCCTCAAACACTTCACGCGGGAAGGATATACATGGAGCACATAGCCGAAGAAGTTGAGGTCCTCTACCTGGGCGGAAGCAATGCCGGCTCTAGAGCGGGAGTGAAGATGCACCTACATGGCAATGCCGTCACCGGTCACTAAGGGCCTCGGCACGACGCATCCATCCAACTCCGTCTTCGAAGGAGGCCACAACCTCCTCGCCTAGATCGCAAGGCGCTGGATCGTCGAAGAACAAAAAGTTCCCTAGAACATGGATGGACGCCGCCGAAAAACCCCAAGGGTGGATCAGGGCATCCAAATGTTGTGCCGACGAGGCTCGTCCAAAGCAGAGCAAGCTACACAACCCAAGCCCAGAACGCGTTGGAGGAAAAGCGAAGGCTTGGATGAAAAAGGACACGATATCGGCTGCTGTCACCGACCCCATACAGAGCCCGCCACCACACTTCCCTCAAGGCGACGCCTTCAAGAAGGTTGCGGCGCCAAGGACGCCGCTGCCGCCCACCGGAATTAGGTTTTCACGCGAGAAGCAAGGAGGTGGGGTGGAAGGGCAGACCTTGATCGACGTCTCCATGAAGAAATCGGCGCCCGCGGGCGTCGTCGTCGTCGCGGCCGGTCGGAGCAGACCAGGGGTTTCCCCAATCTGGATCCCGACCACCCGAATCGCCTACATCCCACACTACTAGGAAAAGGGCTATAGATGAAATGGATACTAATGGCGCACCTGTCATGTGGTGCGCCACTACTAGTAGTGACGCACCATGTGCAGGTGCGCCATTAGTGTGGAAGACACTAATGGCACACCAGACACATGGTGCGCCACTGGTAACAAAAAAAATTTTAATTATTTTTTCAAACATACTAATGACGCATCCTGGCACACTGCGCCATTACTAGTGCTAACTAGTAATGGTGCACCGGCCACACCGTGCGTCACTATTGTTGTTTTTTTTATTGTTACTTTGTAAAACTACTAATGGCGCACCGTGGCACAGTGCACCATTACTAGTTGCACTTTGCCACGGTGCGCCATTAGTATATATATATATATATTTTTAATTTTTTTGCAAAACTACTAATGGCGCACCACCAACAGGTGCGCCATTAATAACAAGGGTTACTAATGGCGCATTGGTAGGTGGTGCGCCATTAGTAACCTGGGACCAACAAGATATTTTAGACAGCCACACCTACCCACTCACTTTCCCCACTTCATTCTCTCCACCTCCTTCTTCAAGCTTGTCTCGGCTGCCTCCTCCTCATCACCTCATTTGCACCATAGATTCATTCAGATTAAGTGGTTAAATTACCTTTTTTTGATAGGTAAGTAAGGGGGAAGCTATCTTTATGTTGTTCTCCCTCTCCAACAACGTGCACATGCACTTTTTGTGGCCTGGCTAGATCTATGTATGTCCGTGGTGTTGCATATGTTTGTGGTGCTGCATATATGTTTGTGTTTGCAGGTACCGGTATTTGAAATGCGATAGCTACCAATATTTTGCCGGAATGTTGATTCATTTCCGTTTCGGCGAGAATTTTGGCACTATGCATTCTTTTCGGTCCTATTTTTAGGGAAAGTAATGCCAAATTTTTTCTTGGTTCTAAAATATCGTTTTGCTCTACCCCGCAGGCGACCATGGTCCGCACGATGACCGAAGGCATCATGAATAGGTTTTTGAGCTCCGCAAAGGCCGAGATGCTTCAAAAGAACGAGACGGAGATAAGATGTCCATGTCGAAGATGCAAGATGAAGAGCCTTATTGCGGACCCGGATTCCGGGCAGGTGCGGGACCACCTGCTCTTGCGTGGTTTCATGGATCTATTGGTGGCAAGGTGATGAAGATGACTATGAAGTCGTCCATGGGGGCCGGGCAAGAAATGAGCAAGACTCGGGCGGGCAAGAAGACGAAGAATCTCCAGCACATGATCACGACGGTGATGCTGTACACAGTCATCATGTAGAAGATGCAGGACATGATGATGAGGAAGATGCCGGAGCAGACGACGGGCATGATCATGAAGATGAAGATGCCGGCGGAGCAGACGATGATGGACCATCGATGGGCTGGGTGCAGGACCCTCATATTCAAGAGCTGCTTCTCAAGCAGACGGATAACACAAGAGCTGCCGCCCGAGAGAAAGCCAAGCTGGATCAACTGGAGATAGACGCGGTTACTCCATTGTATGAAGGATGCAGGCCCGAGGATACCCGCCTGAAAGTAACGTTCATGGCTCTGGAGATGAAGGTAAAACACAAAATGACCGACGCATGCTTCGACGAGAACATGTCATTCTGGCACGAACGTCTTCCCAAGGGGAACAAGTGTCCGACCAGTTTCGAGGAGGCGAAGAAAATTGTGTGTCCTCTGGATTTACCGCACATGAAATACCATGTGTCCATGAACAATTGCATCATTTATCGGGGCGAGCACACGGAGTCTACCATATGTCCGGTGTCCGGCATCACTCGATACAAGAAGAGGAAGAAAGCTCCTCGAAAAGTGGTGTGGTACTTTCCGATCACTCCTCGTCTGCAGCGGTATTTCGCGGACCCTAAGGTAGCAAAGCTCCTGCGTTGGCACGCGGATAGGGAGGAGAAGAAGCCAGAAGATGAAGCAAATGATCCGGAGATAAATAAAAAAGACAAGATACTGAGTCACCCTAGGGATGGGAGCCAGTGACAAGCGTTGAACTTCGAACACCCAGAATTTGGGAAGGATCCAAGGAACATCGTGCTGGGTGCGAGCACTGATGGAGTCAATCCGTTTGGCAGCCAGAGAAGCACACATAGCACCTTGCCTGTGTTTGTGTGGATGTACAACCTTCCCCCCTGGTTGTGCATGAAGAGGAAGTACATTCACATGAGTATGCTAATTGAAGGGGCGGAACAACCAGGGAATGACATCAATCTGTATCTGGGGCTGCTGAAAGAGGAGCTAGACACGTTGTGGAAAACGCCAGCCAATATGTGGGACGCCGCAGAGAAAGAATATTTCTCTATGAGAGCCGCACTGCTCTCGACGGTGCACGACTATCTCGGTTACGGATATCTCGCGAGGCAGGTGGTCCACGGATTTTCTGGATGCGTCAGGTGCATGGATGACACAACGTATCGCCAGCTAGATAGAGATCCCGGGTCTTCGAAAACCGTGTTCATGGGACATCGAAGGTGGCTTCGCGACGATGACCCGTGGAGGAAATGCAAGGATCTGTTCGATGGTGAAACCGAACCCCGAAGACGCCCGCGTATGAGGAGCGGCGAGGAAATAGACGAGGTGTTGAAAAATTGGAAAGATTGCCCACTGCCGGGAAAGAAGCAAAAGGCGCCAGAGCCGGGAAAGAAGCGAAAGGCGCCAGAGCCGTTGCTGAAGGTATGGAAAACGAGGTCTATTTTCTAAGACTTGCCGTACTGGAAGATCCACCGTGTGCCTCACAGCCTTGATGTCATGCATATCACGAAGAACATGTGCGAGAGTCTACTTGGTACCCTGCTCAACATGCCAGAGAGGACCAAAGATGGGCCGAAAGCAAGGGCAGACTTGAAATCAATGGGCATCAGAGGAGCTTCACGCTAATGATGATGATGATGATGATGAGGTGAAGCAGGACACAGAAAGTCGTCGCAAAGGCAAAAAGGCCAAGAAGACCGGAAATGACTACTGAGGGAGTCCTGGATTAGGGGGTGTCCGGATAGCCGAACTATCACCTTTGGCCGGACTCCTGGACTATGAAGATACAAGATTGAAGACTTCGTCCCGTGTCCGGACGGGACTTTCCTTGGCGTGGAAGGCAAGCTTGGTGATACGGATATGTAGATCTCCTACCATTGTAACCGACTCTGTGTAACCCTAACCCTCTTCGGTGCCTATATAAACCGGAGGGTTTTAGTCCGTAGGATGAACAACAATCATACCATAGGCTAGCTTCTAGGGTTTAGCCTCTCTGATCTCGTGGTAGATCTACTCTTGTACTACCCTTATCATCAATATTAATCAAGCAGGAGTAGGGTTTTACCTCCATCGAGAGGGCCCGAACCTGGGTAAAAACATCGTGTCCCTTGTTTCCTGTTACCATCCGCCTAGACGCACAGTTCGGGACCCCCTACCCGAGATCCGCCGGTTTTGACACCGACATTGGTGCTTTAATTGAGAGTTCCTCTGTGTCGTCATCTTTAGGCCCGATGGCTCCTCCGATCATCAACAATGATGCGGTCCAGGGTGAGACTTTTCTCCCCAGACAGATCTTCATATTCGGCGGCTTTGCACTGCGGGCCAATTCACTTGGCCATCTGGAGCAGATTGAAAGCTACGCCCCTGGCCATCAGGTCGGATTTGGAAGTTTGAACTACACGGCTGATGTCCGCGGAGACTTGATCTTCGACGGGTTTGAGCCACAGCCAAGCATGCCGCACTGTCACGATGGGCATGATCTAGCTCTGCCGCCGGACAGTGCCCTGGAGGTCGCACCAGTGTCCGCTCCGACCCTTAGTTCGGAGCCGACTGCACCGATCGAGGACGGGTGGCTGGACACCGCCTCGGGGGCTGCTATCTCTACAGC